GGGGGGGGGGGGCGATCACCGGAGACCCTTAGAATCAGAGCTCTGGTGGCAGCTGCGGAGAGGGGCTCGCGGGCCCTGGGTCTGGCCCCATTTTAATTGGAGGCGATCACCCAGCCAGGAGCAGCGGGTGGGCAGCCGAAGGTCCCCTGTCCCCTGTTCCTGCAGTGACGGGCATCGTCCGGGGGGCCTGCACATGCCCCGTGCCCCCTGCAGGCCAGCCCAGCCCAGGCCAGGGCGGCCGCTGGCCTCTCACCTGTGTCTGCGTCCCTGAGGCCCACCAGGACCCGAACCCCAGCCCGCAGGAGGAAGCTGATCTTCTGCTCGCTCAGCACCTGCTGGACGGCCGTGAGTCTCTGCAAACAGAGGGGGGAGTGAGGCCTGGGGACCCACGGGGGGGCATCAAGGGGACCCGCAGGTGTCCTCTCTCTACACGGTGGGCGCAGTGAGCGGTGTGCGGGGAGGAAGGCCTCGCCGGATGGCGTCCTCAGCTCCCTGCCCGGGTGCCTGCCTCAGGTGGGACGCCCCAGGGAGCCTGCGTCCTCCGGGGCAAGCAGGCTCCTGAGCAGCGTTTCAGCGCCTGAGCCGCCAGGAGGCCACCCCTGCTCACGGGATGCGGGTCCTGCATGGGGGACGTGCAGGTGACAAGCCCGCAGAGCCTGCGTGTCACGGGCGGTGGGAGCGTCGCTGCACCTCTGTGTTTGGAGGGTCACGGTGAGGATTCCCTGCGCTCGGCACAGGAAGGGCCCGGCTGTGTGCCGCTGGCCACGGCCATGGCATTGCCATGGTTTTTTGCTGTCTTTGGGTGTGAGGTTTCCTTCAGCATTCAGGAAAAATGGGGACAGGGCACCCCGCGACCCCTCGCCTCCGCTCCTTTCCACTCTCAGCTCTGGGGCACCTGACGCTGTAGGAGGCGCGTCTCCCTCCACGCGGGGAGCTGGTCCAGAGAGCTGGCGGCCGGGGTGCTCTGTGCCCCATGAGGTCCCCAAGGCCTGTGCTTCAGCTGGGGCTCCCACCGCCCCCCCGGAGCTGTGCTGAGCTTGCTGTCGGTTCTCCTCTGAGAAATGGGCACAGACACTCTCCACCTGCCACCGTCCCAGCCCCAGAGACACCTGGCAAGTCTGGGGCCCGCAGGCGCCCGTGTGGAGGTGTGGACGCCCTTTGGAAAATGCTGAGGGTCACTCACAGGACCCCGGGAGGCAGGCTGGCAGCGGCTGGGAGCAGGGTCTGCAGCCAGAGGGACAGGGCTCCACGCCCGCTGTCCTTCCTGATGGTGGCCCTCGCGGAGCCTCACGTCCCTCACCTAGGAAACGGGATGCCACCTCCACCCCAAGAGGTGCCGCGGCGGGTGCTGTACCCACTTTGGTGCAGGGCACTCTCTCCAGACCACCCACGTGAGCATCTGTCACCATGATGAGCCCAGGGGCTACTGAGGCTCTGAGCCTTTTCTTTTTTTTGAGATAAAACACTTTTTTAAAGCGCAGAGTCCCGTGGTTTTAGTGTATTTGCAAAGTTATGAGGCCATCCCACGCCCACTAGCTGTCACTCACCCCCGCCCCCGGCCCCTGGCCTCCTCCCTTTATCTGCCTGCTCTGGACGGTCCACAGAAATGGAGTCACTGAACCGGTGGCTCTCACGTCCGGCCTCCCACTCGGCACCATGTTTTCAAGGCTCACTCGGGGTGTGGCCCGTGCCAGAGCTTCCCTCCCTTTCGCGGCCGAGTAACATTCCGCCGTGCGGCTGGCCCACGCTCCATCCCTCACCCACCGACGGGCGTCTGGGCCGGTCCGCGTCGGGGCCTCCGGATAATGCTGCTGGGACGTGTTCAGGGCTCTCCGCTCGCTGAACCGACATCACAGGAGTGGCCCTGTGATGTCCCCGTCACGGTTTAACTTCGTGACGAACGGCCCGACCGTTTTCCGAAGTGGCCAGTTTACACGCCCAGCAGCGACTCCACGTCCTGGTCACCCGTGAGCCCCGGCCGCGCCTGTCACCTTCCCTCCCTGGCGAGGGCCACCATTGGGAAGTTGTCCTGTGCACCGAAGACGTTTGCTCACTGATGGGGCTGACGGCCGCTCTGTTCTGACCCCTGTGCCCCACGTGTCCCACGTCCCCAGCACCCCGCAGGATGGCTGGGACCATGTGCCCAGTTCTGGCTGATGGAATGGGGCAGGAAGTGGCGCGTGTCCACCTGGGGCGCCCTGGTGCCCCCACACCCCTACTGCCCGACGCAGTGACCGCAGAGGCCCCATGGGTGCAGGGGCAGAGCCACAAGGTGGAGGGGGGCCCAGCACCAAGTCCTAAGTCAGCTGTGACTCTTGAGAAATGAGCCACTGAGATTTCCACGCTTGCTGAGAACTGTCACCAAACCCTCTGCGGGGCAGGGAGGACCCAGTCTAGTGGCCACAGCAGATACCTTGTCACCCGTGACACTCCGCTTCCTTGTGGGCCTGGGCAGGGCCAGGAGCACATACAGGTCGGCCAAGGTGGGCAGCCCCGGCTTCACCACCGTCACCAGCAGCTCCTTGGGGATGCCAGTCTCCTGCGGGACAAAGACAAGACACTGATCCATACGCCTCCTCTGTCTCCCCCACACTCGAGAGCCCCTGGGAATCCCCTCTCCCCGCTCTTGGCCTGTCCAGGTCCCGGTTCTCTGTCTTGCAAGCTATTCCTGACCCCACACACCACGGGGACAGCCCGACAGTCCGACAGCAGCCCTGCATCACCACCGACAGTCCAGCTCTCCTGGGTGCTCGGCCCTGCCTCCCGTTCCAGTCTCCGCTTGGCCAGGCCATCCCTCACACTCCATGCCTCCAGTCCATACCTCACACCGTGGCCACCGTCCCTGGCCCCTCCCTGGCTAATGTCCTTCCAAACCCACAAAGCTCAGCTCATGCAGGCCTCTCTGCCTCCTGGAAGTCACAGTCCATGCACTTCTATCTGGCAAGCTCCTATTCATCCTTCAACGCCCAGGACAATACTACCAGCATTATTAATGGGCTGAGAGGAGGCATGGCCAGAGTGGGCCTCAGCCTGTGACAAGCTTGGGGACTAGGGGGCAGGCTTTCACTCGGCAGGGACCAAGGGCCTCGTGTGTCCTACGCCCACTCGGAAGCACAGCCTGCGTGCTTTCTGGGCTGCCCAAGGGGAGCCACCACACCCGTTCTTCTCTGTCTCCAGGGTCTGGCCCAGAAGAGAAAACTGGTTTAAAGGGATTCTGGGCCACTGGAGGACAGCAGCTGGGTCCTGTGCAAACAGCCGGTGCTCAGTATGTGTACAGAGGGTGAGGCCTGTGCCTCCTCTCACGGTGGCCCCAGCTTCATGTCCTCCCGAGCCACGGCGTTGGCCGAGCTGGCTACTCAGCGCCCACCAGCAGGCTGAAGGCCGGATCCCCGTGGCTGTGGGGCAGCCACGCCCACTCTGCTCTGCCCTGGAGGTCCCGGGGGACCCCAGCTTTTCTGAGGCACCCACAGTGCTGGGAACACATCACACTGGGGGGATGGGCACACCTTGGCGAGGAGCGAGGTGACCACCAGGCCGACGTCCTCTCTCCACTCGGGGGTGTTGGGGTTGTACGTGTCCAGGTTCTTGGAAAACTGCAGAGGCACCACCTGAAACTGATCTGGGGAGGGGCAGATGGGGGGCCGGTCAGTCGGGCAGCCTGGCTCTGCCCCTCCGGGCGGGTGGCCCGGGCCGCCCCAGGTTGACTCCATGGCTCACTGTCGCAAACCAAGATCCCGGGCAGCGTCCGGTCATCGGCCGCCATCTAGTAACAACAATCACGACAGTGATGAGGAGGACGATAGAGGATCAGAGGACAGCACTGACCGGGGCCTGGCACGTGCCGAACCTGCCCCGTTAACTTACAAGCACATACACAGCCTGCAAGGTTGGCCTCCTGTCCCCCAGGGATCCGTGGACTTTGACTGGCCTGGTACCCCCACCAGAATAAGAGTCCCTAAGGGCAGAGGCCCCGCCTCCTTTCTCTCTCACATTCTCAGGGTATCCTGACTCAGAGGCCAGTTCTAGAGCCACAGCGGGGGTGGCGAGAAGAGCCCAGCACCGGGAGCCCAGCTAATGCAATCTCTCCATGTTCCTCCAGAGCCTCGGTTTCCTCACATGTAAAGTGGGAGGAGGAGCTGTGGGGATGAGGGGCTCCAGGGCCCAGCGCTGGTGAACTGTGAGCTCAACAGCTCACGATGGGCATCCACACTGGGAAGATGACGTGATATTGTGTATAGAAGACCCGAAAGACTCACCAAAGCCCTGTCAGAACTGAAGCAAATTCAGTGAAGCTGCAGGATACAAAACCAATATACAGAAATCCATTGGGTTTCTACACACTAATAATTAACCATCAGGAAGAGAAATGAAGAAAACAATCCCCTTTACAACTGCGTCAAAAAGAATGAAATACCTAGGAATAAATTTCACCAAGGAGGTGACAGACCTGTACCCTGAAAACCATGAGACACTGATGAAAGAAACTGAAGGAGACAGATGAATGGAAAGATATTCTGTGTTCATGGGTTGAAAGAATGAATATTCTTAAAATGTCCACACTGCTCAAAGCAATCTACAGATTCAACACAATCCTTATCAAAATTCCATTGGCGTTTTTCACAGAAACAGAGCAACCCTAAAATTTGTATTAAACCTCAAAAGCCCATGAAGGGCCAAAGCCATCTTGAGAAAGAACAAAGCCGGATGCGTCCTGCCGATTTCAAACAACTATACTGCAGAGCTACAGAAATCAAAACAGTGTGGTACTGGCATGAAAACAGACACATCGCTCATTGGGACAGAACAGAGAGCCCAGAAATAAACTCATGCCTCCACGGTCACTTAATCCGTGACAGAGAAGCCAAGAATATACAGTGGGCAACGGACAGCCACCTGCCAAAGAACGAGACTCGGCCTCACCGTCACCACAGGAAAACTACCTCAAAGCGGATTAGAGTTTACATAAGACCTGGAACCACGAAACCTCTAGAAGAAAACAGGCTGCCGGTTCGCTTCCTGGCACTGATCTTGGTGATTTTTTTTTTTTCACTTGACACCATAAGCAAAGGCAACCAAAGCAAAAATAAACACGTGAGACTACGTCAAACTAAAAGCGTCTGTCCAGCAAAGGGGACCATCAACGAGATGCACTGGCGACCTACCAAATGGCAGAAAATGTGTCTGATGGGGGGTTAATATCCAAAATGTAAAGAACTCGTACAACTTAATAGCAGACAAACAAATCAATTTAGGAAAGGGGGTGGGCAGAGGATCCGAACAGACAGTTCTTTCCAAGGAGGACACAGGTGGCCAAGAGGCCCCCGAAAAGGGGTTCAGCGTCACTAAGCACCAGGGAAACGCAAACCAAAACCGCAGCAAGGTATCGCCTCGCACCTGTCAGGAAGGTACCATCAAAATGCACAAGGTAAGTGCTGGGGAGGGCGTGGGGAAAGGGAGCCCTGGGCGCCGCTGCTGGGATTGCAAATGGTGCAACCACCGTGGAAAACAGTGCGGAGGTTCCACAGAAAATCAGAAATAGAGCGACCCTACGATCCAGCAGTTCCACCGCTGGTGTATATCAATGAAAACAACCCCACACATCTCACAACGGGGGCGGTGAGGGCTGTTGTAAAGCTTGGGCCCAGCCTGCGAAATGTTGGCGAACGAAGGAGCGGCCAAGGGCGGCCCCTAATATCTAGCCGACGGCCGCTGTCCCCAGGACAGGCCGTTCTTAAAGCAAAATGAGTTTTGGGGTGTGACCATGAGGCCACCGCAAGCTGCGGGGGCAGGTGGGGGGCTGCCGCTCTTAAGAGTCATTTTCCACGGCAGTGTCTCTCTCCCAGGAGGGTCACAGGGCCCCCTGCGTACAGACTAGCGGGACACCGATGGGAAAGGCATCTCGGCAGAGCTTGGCCCCAGGCGGCCGACCCGGCCCGAGGCAGGGCGAGCTGGGGGGGCACTGCCCGAGCCTGGCCGGGGACTCACCCAGCACGCGGACCACCTTGGAGTCCTGCAGCACCGAGTTCCCGCAGGCTGCCTGCACCGTCACACGCACGTCCCCCGGGTCCGCAAACCGCGTCGTCACGGAGTTGTTCAGGGACAGCAAGGGCTGCAGGGCACAAGCAGGGTCAGGGCCAAGCCCCGGCCGTGGCCTGGGGAGAGCTGGCCCTATGGTCGGTCAGCGGCCCAGGGCTGCACTGAGAACCCTGTCCCCTGCCCTCCCCGGGGCATGGGGAGGCCCCAGGGGACACCTGCATGGACACACGTCCTTCCAGACTGTCCTGAGCCCTCCTATGTGGACAAATGAGGTGTAAATGGGGCCTCGGTCTGGGCCTCTGCACTGACCCCAACCCACCCTCCCAGCCCCACTCAGCTGTGGCCTGGCGCCCGGCTCAGCACCCAGCCTGGAGCTGGGGTGCACCCATCAGGACTGGTGACAGCACTGTCTGGGACCTCACAGATGGGGACAGAGGCTCTGGGAAGTGCAATGACAGCCCGAAGGGCTCGGCTAAAAGAGGCTGAGCTGCGATTCAAACCCAGAGCCAGAACCCCTTCCTAGACCTGCCCCCTCCAGGGAGCACCATAGGGAGCCCAACCCTCCCTGCCTGGCCTTGGTGTCTGGGCCCTCAGTGCTGTTCGGGGGCCTTCTGCTTAGGGGTGTAGGGCTGCACTTGGCTGTGTGAATGAAGGATGCTTCTCCCTGGGTCCTGAGGCCCCCACCCAGCCCAAGGGTGAGCAGCCAGGCCCTGAAAAAGCCCCAGGACCTCCTACGAGGCATCTGTCCACGGGCTCCGAGGCTGCTGAGCTCAGGTGCAGCCCCAGTGACCCCTCCTCCATGAAGCCTTCCCTGACCATCCTTCCCCTAGACTAGAACTGGCCTTGTCTCCCCTGGAGCTCCCGGCGACCTTACCAGCCCTCTTCCTGTGGCACCTGTCACTCCCTAACTTGGGTCATCTCCTCTGTTCACATCTTCCCTGGGGAGGAGGCAGGGCCTGGTCTGATTCATCCTGTGTCAACCTCACTTGGACACAGCTGGCAGGAAAGGTGGGTCTCACTCAGCTCCACAGTGTCACACACTGTCCTTCTGCCCCACACCTGGGGCAGCCTCCTGCCCTCGCTCTCCACCCCGAGGCGGAGCCTATGGGAAGCAGGGGCCACCGGCGGTCTGGGGTCAGCAAACCTGCAGGCTGTGGCCGATCCACCAGTAGAAGACAGTGAGGTTGGGGTTCAGGGGCAGCAGCACGGCTGTGAGGTTCACCTCCTGGTTGATGCCAATGACAGGAACCACTTCAAGGTAGAGGGCCCGCAGGGGGGCTGCAGGTCCGGAAAAAGGTCAGGGGTTAGAGGGCATCGGGCACTTGGCTTTTCAGAGGCTGTTGGTCACTGTTATCCTCAACTCCATTACCACCCCCCACCTTGTTACCACAGTCACTACCACCCTGTCACCACCACCACCATCATTACAATCATCACCATCACCATCACCACCACCACCACCACCATTACAATCATCACCATCACCATCACCACACCATCACCAACACACCTCCCTTCATTACCATCGTCACTACCACCCCATCACCACCACCATCACTATCACCACCACCACCACCATCACCACCACCACCACCACCACCACCACCATCACCACCACCATCACCACCACCACCA